ACTTTGGTGATTAACAAAACATTCATAATTGAATTTTTAAAATTGTAAAACATAATAATTATTTCATGATTTGATTATCTCTAAATATATGTTAAAATTTAATGACTTTTGTGATAAAATCGTCATAAAGTTATGAGAATCAAATTATACATTACGATGCCTTAAGTGTGTGTATATCAATTCATATATTAATATATGAATACATATATAAAAATAATTAACGTGCTGGAGAACATAAAAATATATATACATTAGGAGCACTAAACCCAAATAATAATTTATGTGCGATTCCATTAAGCATGTACCGTAATAATCAATTCGTTAATGATCTCTCACTAATGCTCGTTAAAGATACATACATATATATATATATATATATAAATTACAACCCTTAAAGGGATTATCGTTTAAAGGGAAGTAGACTACTCAAGAATTTCACGTTTCATTTATGTGGTAATTTATAATTGAATAAAGAATTCAAAAAATCTAAATAAAACGAAAATAAGAATGAATCAATGAAATGTTGCTTGGTCTTCATTGCTAACTTGAGTAAGGAGTAGATTTTTGGAGGTTTTTTGAGAATTTGAAAGTGAAAACCCCCTTTTTTATTTGGTGTAAGTACTTGAGCCGGATGAATAGTCAGTCTAGCTCTAAACCTACGTGCCTATGACTTCGTTTCCCAGGAGATCCATGCAGCGGAAGATCCTAAATTTGAAACTTTATACACCAAAAATACTCTCTTAAATGAAGTTATTCATGCTTGAATGGCGGCTCAAGATCAGCCTCATGAAAACCTTATATTCCCAAAGGAGGTTCTACCCCGTGGAAACGCTCTTTAATGGAACTTTAGCTTTAGCTATATATCTTTAACAAGCATTAATGGGAGATCATTAACGAAACCATATAAATTTTAATAATTGGAAAATCATGAGATCCTATACCATACTCTGATACCAACTTTATGCAATAATGTAATTCTTTATGCGGACATTCTAAATTAAAGGATCTTATATTTTCATGATTTACTCACAACAAAAAGATAAAGACGTATTTTTAACCATAACAATAACTTTGAAAAAATGATCGTTGCAGAAATATGAGAAATAAAGAAATCCGATTTCTCTCTTTTAATCCACTTTTGTCTTAAAGTATTCATTTGATGGGGGATTGAGTACAACATTTCATTGTCTAGGATGAAGAGAGATCTAGACTCTTTATATAAACTATCAATATGTGTTTTCCATCAAAATACATTCTATTTTCATAAGAGTCGCATCTTTTCTTAAGAGTTAGCACATTGTCATAACTAATAGGTTTTCTTAGCATTTAAAAAATTATTAAATTAATAATTAATAATAGCATGTGGGCCACAATTATCCTGACAATATCATGCCAATTATGTCATGCGATATAGGCATCGGCAATCGGCATGCTTTTCAACGGAAAAGGGCTTGAACGTGCCGTGGTTGGCGGGCAAAGAAAGAGACGGTTGACCGAGGGTGTTGGTACAGAATTGCAGTTCAAGAGAACAGTACAATGAAGAAGTACAGGACTTCCTTTTCTTCCGAAGCACTTCGAGACAAGACCCAAAACTCCATTTGTTTGGCAGACCTGAAGGCAGTACAAACAAATGCAAAAGTCAGCTTTGTACTGCACTTTCCTGGTGACTACATTATAAAAGACTTGACTCCAGATGTTGGAAAATCGCAGATCTTTATGCTGCTTCAGAAGAGCAGAGACTTCCATGATGCAGAAACGTTATTGAGTGCAGCGTTGATGAAGTTACTTCCCATTTTCAGGGCTCTTGCTCTTCTTTTCCCATCTAAGTTTGGAGGAATCTTGGAATGGGGATCGTTTCCGCAGCGCTGCACTCAAAAATGTTTCTATGTTTGGGTTGGGGATGTCGAGATTTTTAGGTTTTTCGGGTTAATACTTGCATACCGATCCGCTTGCATTTGTACTACTGTCGTATGGATTTATAGGCAGCAACAGATCCAGATTGCTTTTATTTGGGGGGCTAATATAGACTTATGTGACTATGTATTGACTTTTGATACAAAGTTCAGTTGTGATTGGATTAAGAAGATAATCATCATCGTCGATATTTTCTTGTTTGATTATTCGGAAAGAGTTGCGTACCGGGTAACGAGCTCGAGTTTGTTAGCAGGAAATTTTTAACTCATCAAAAAAGTAAATAAATAATGTCGTGCATAGTTATATTCTAGTTTTTGTTTTCCTTTTTTTTTGGTCAGATAGTTATATTCTAGTTTTTTTTTTATAGTTATATTCTAGTTACTGACTGGATTTTTGAACTATTAATTGTTCCAAAGCATTTTGTGCAAGGGTTGCTTCTACTTGTGTTGATCAAGGCCCAATGACACATTGGGCCCGTTTGGTTCGGCTTTTCAAATGCAATTTGGGGGAATGCAAATACCTTTAGGTGAAAGCCACTTGGGGAAATGCAAGTGGTGTTTGGTAAAAAAAAATTTGTGAAGCTACTTTGGTCTAAGTAGTGTTTGGTAAATTTTTTTTGCAAATGGCTTTGACAATTTTTATTCTTAATATTCCGGTTTTGCCCCTATTACTATTCATCTTCTTCACCGGCGAGGGTGGCCGGCGAGGGGCCGGCAAGGGCGGATCTGGCCGGCGAAGGCCGGCGAGGGGCCGCGAGGTCGCCTGACCTAGGCGACGGCCGCCTGGGGTCCCTTCGCCGGCCACCCTCGCCGGCCACGTGAAGAAGATGAACAGTGACAGGGCAAAACCGGAAAATTGAAATTTGAGTGAGGGCAATTTGGGAAGGAAAAATAGGCTTCAGCATTCCAATGGCATTCCAAATGCTGGCTTTCGACTTTCCGAGTCCGGAAAGCCGAACCAAATGGTTCAGCATTTTGGGAAGGGGCTTTCGAGGCCGAAAGCCCCTTCCCAAAGCTGAACCAAACGGGGCCATTATCCGTCCCTTTGGGATTAGACCCTTCTCCTATAACAGGCAAATTCATGCTAAAACCATAGCAGAACTTGCATGCCTGCGTTGTCCGTGTGTTTTGCATTGTCGGATCTAAGGCGGTAGCGGTAACGACGACCGCACCGCAGCAGCGAAGCACTCGCCTGAGCTGGTTGAGGGGTTGCCAGACCCATGCCCCCGCTCTCTCTCTCTCTCTCTCTCTCTCTCTCTCTCTCTCTCTCTCTCTCTCTCTCTCTCTCTCTCTCTCTCTCTCTCTCTCTCTCGTGTTTTCATTTAAGTTCTCCCTCTTTGTTTCAGCTTTCGAATGCCCGTCGTCGAGTTTCCGGACAATTATGTATCGGGAGATGCACATGCACCGTGACCGGCTACTTTTTCCATCAGTGATGAGCATATGCGGCTTTTCATGTACGTTTGCTAATCATGGAGGACGAAGGAAAAATGATATCCCGAAAGTTACTTTGCGAATTGACGGATTGAATTCTCCGCCGATGGAATCGGTACATAGCAAATCGGATCCTAATCAGAGATCGGCCCCTCTCAAAGCAACAAGAGAGCATAGCATCTTCATCTAATGATCTTTTATATTGCGGCACTGACAGATCCAATTTGTACAGATGTGTTTTCATTTTGCAATTGAATCCGATCCATTCACCCCCAAAATATTAATTTTCCATCACTAACTTCCTTGATTGTAATCAACAAACAGGCGACATAGCAAGCTTTTGTCACAGGCAAATTGAAATCATCGGCCTTCCTATTTTCTGGGGAGGTAAACTCGCCACGTGTCAAGCCTCTTAGAGTGCGTTTATTTCATGGAAAATGAATAATTCGAAAAATGTTTTCTTAAAAATGATGCTTATATCACTTAAAATAATTAACTAATAAAATATATTTTCATTATCAACAATAATTATGTCTAAACATCTTCATAGATGATAAAAATATTTTTCGTTCACCCATTTTTTTCATTCATTTTCCGTGAAACAAATGCACTCTTAATCCTATATAAATGATGCATTGCTTAGGCTCTGTTTGTTTTGCGGAAAATAAATTATCCGGATAATATTTTCCTAAAAAAATCAATTGAAATAATTAGTTAATGGAAAATGTTTCCATTATTGACAATAATTATATCTAAATATTTTCGTGAACGATGAAAATATTTTTCGTTCATTAATTTTTACAAGTGATACAAGCAATCGATTTTAGAAAAATATTTTCCAAATCATTTATTTTAAGGTGTGTTTGTTTCGTGAAAATAGATGATTCGGAAAAATTTTCTTAAAAATGATTGCTCGTATCGCTTACTAAAATGAATGACCAAAAAATATTTTCGTCGTGCACGAAAATGTTCGATAATGAAACATTTGGCAAAAAGACACAAACGGTCCATGAACTTTGACCCAATGTGCAATTTAGTCCATGAACTTTTAATTTGTTCAATGTAGTCCCTGAACTATATGAGAATGTTCAATGCGGTCCCTGACTTTTAATTTATTCAATTTGGTCCCTAGAATTTTAGTATATGTTCAATTTAGTCCATGAACTATATGAGAATATTCAATATGTCCTTCCATTAATTCAAGTTTAAGAACTACATTGAACATTTTCATACAGTTCGGGAGCTAAATTGAATATGTACGAAAAGTCCATGGACCAAATTGAACAAATTAAAAGTTAATGGATCACATCGAACAAATTAAAAGTTTAGGAACCACACTACATATTCGGTTAAAGTTCAGGAACTATTACTGTCATTAACCCGAAATATTTTTCATTGATTAATTATATCGAGCAATACAAACGATTATTTTTAGCCAGAGGTTTTCCTCGTTGGCCCATCGTGGGCCCCGCCCCTTCTCACTCCGCCACGTGGTAGTATCTCAGTTTAGAGAGAGAGAGAGAGAGGGTGTGTGTAGGTGGGTGCGATTTCAGGAATCTATAAATGGTGGGGGGGAGAATGAGATCACATGGTTTGGGAAGTCCTCTCTCAACGTTCACACCTCCCGTGCCTCCGCCATTCCTCCGCCCGACCTGAATTAGGGCACGAAGACGCAGAGAGACCGGGCTCCTTTGCAGGAGCGGAGGCCGGAGGCCGGGAGTCCTACCGCCCGCCGGATCTCGGGCCGGGCCGGGTCGGGTCGCCGCGGCTTCGTTGTCCGACCCCCACCCACGATGAGCTCCTCCTCCGCCTTCCTCGATCGGGATGCCGGGCCGAGCGCCCCGCATTTCCTCGTCGCCGGCTGCTTCGCGCTTGGCTTCGTCGCCGCCAGGTCCTTCCTTGACCGGTTCATCTTCCGTGTAAGGTTTCTCTTTTGCCAGTCGGTAGGTGGTCTTCCGTGCGTGCGTTCTGTTCCGTTCCGTTCTGTCCTGTTCTGATCGTCGCTTGCGTATGGGGAAATGTTTCCGCTGCGTGTGCGGTAAAGAGATCGCTCATTTGATTCCCGTGCCGATTTGTACGGCCGACTTCGCGTTTCCTGTCCGATTATATAATTCATGAGCTGTTTTAGATTTGAGGGGCAAGGTCAGATGGAGAGACGAGTGTTCCGGGCATTTTAGAGATTAATGTCTGTGGAGATGGCATTCTCGTGTGATGGCTTTGCCTTAGCCGATGAAGCATTGAAGCTTACGCGGCGGCATTGCTTTGGCGAACCTGTTGAGGAGATAATGTGTATACACGTCTATGACCGGGAAACAGCTCGATGCCCGTAGTGCCGATGTTAGGGAACATTGTCGCGTGCATTGGGTTCGTGTGCGCCCGATGCACATGACCGGACTTGGTCGGATTGTGTGCGCCCGATTCACGTGAGCCCGATGCATGCGAATACCGCTTAGGCTAGTGTTTAGCCGCTCGTAATGCTCTTTACACCCAGCGAATCTTACTCCGTGGATTTTATAGCTTCTGAAATCGTTCGTTGTTTTTTCCAATTTCTTGTAGAGGCTTGCGATTTCGTTGCTTAGTCTCGGATCTAGGCAGTTGAAAATCAATGAGGCGGTACAGGCGAAAATCGTAAAATGTTCGGAATCTATGTGGAAGTTGACATACTACTTCGCTGTTGAATATTGCGTTCTGAAGATCACTTATCACGAGCCGTGGTTCTGGGACACATCAGAGTATTTCAAAGGCTGGCCTAACCAGGAGCTGAAGTAAGTAATTTCGTGCTTGTGAGATCTGACTATCAACATACATGGAATCACAGTGTCACCGTGATCTTTTATAACCTACAGTATGTTATTGTTGTTCATGGCGAGTTGTTAAGCTCTCTCTTTCCTTTATCTTTTGGCTTGTGTTATTTGCGAGCGCTCTTAAGGTGCTAAATAACGTATCCTCGCAATATTGAAAAAGTTGATGCAAGCTCAGCAGACATGCTCGAAAATTAGTGTTTTCTGATAAAAGAAGCAATGCTGTTGCATTGTATATTCTCCACTGCTTCTCGCCTTTTTTACAGTACAAAGGATCCTTTAATTTCAAGTTGTATGCAAGACGGTCGGTCAAAGTTTAGAGTTTGCAATAACAGAAGCGCCTGTATTCATCTGTTTTTTCCGTCATTTCAGGCTTCCTCTAAAGCTTATCTACATGTGCCAATGCGGATTCTACCTCTACAGTATTGCTGCTCTCGTTACCTGGGAAACTCGAAGGAAGGATTTTGCCGTCATGATGTCCCATCATGTAATCACGGTCTTCTTGATCGGTTACTCATACTTGACTAGGTATTTGTCTTGTCTATGCCCTTAAAGGGAATTACAGGCTGTGTCACATGAAACCATCCATATCTAAAATGCACTTGTGACCAGTAAATGGCATATAACTGGTCATTGAAGATCAACTTTGACATTTCAGTGTTCTTCTGAATTGATCACATGATCAATTTAATGAAATCGCATGTCTTCTATATCATGAGACACTTTTCTTGCTTGTGCAGTTTCTTTCGAGTTGGCGCGATTGTCCTGGCACTCCATGATGCGAGCGATGTGTTCTTAGAAGCTGCCAAAGTTTTCAAGTACTCTGAACATGAGCTTGGAGCAAGCGTATTCTTTGGATTATTCGCCCTTTCATGGCTCATGCTACGCCTAATATACTTCCCTTTCTGGGTCATCAGAACAACGAGGTGCAACGTCTTGTAATTTATCTCAATTCATTTACGTCTACAGGCTTTAGGATACCTTGGGCTTACGATTGCTTTACGTTTATTAATTGCGCAGTACCACTCTCTGTGATTACTTACCAATGGACAAAGCTTATGCCGCACCGCTTTATTACATATTCAACTCGATGTTGCTGATGCTGCTCGTCTTCCACATTTATTGGTGGGTTCTAATATGCTCTATGATCAGAAGGCAGCTAAAGAACCGAGGAAAAGTGGGCGAAGATATACGATCGGGTAAGCCTTTGACTCAACTCCCTTACATAACGTGATACACAAAGTGACAGTATCCAAAGAAACAGGCTGTGCCATATCGGTGTGTTCTTAACCTCAACTATGGACTGTGAATTTACTACTGATCTCTATATATACTGGTGCAGATTCGGAGGATGATGATTAGATTGCAGATTGTGTCAAGCGGATTCAGTTCGACGAGCCTAGTCGTAGATGCAGAGGATGAGAATGTACCTTCGGCCCGTATACGGAAGAAGAGAGAAGGAACACATTTTGCAGTACATACAACGTCCAACTAAGGACACTTTTCATGAGTTCTTGTGTATAAAATGATAAACAGGCAATGTGTAAGTTTCTCTTTTTTCTCTATGGATAAAACTTCAGTTTATTTCTTTTTGGAATTGACGGCATATAATGCAATGGTGGGCATACTGTCATTAAAAAAGAAAATCATCGATAAAGCCGCTACAATTTTGTTCTTTGAGGTTTTCTTGGAGCATGTAAGAGGTGACAACGAAAACTATTATCCAGCGATGGAAGAACTTTCACCATGATAATCAAAGGTTAATTGAGCTTTAAAGAGGAAGAAGCCCAAGATAGAAGATGGGAGAGAGAGTAGTGATCTGCTTACTATGTTCTAGGATAGATATCAGAGTTTATATTTCAAACCCGATGCTTTCAGCGAGATGTAGTCCAATTTGAAGAATACCCAAGCCAACCTTCAAATAGAGTGCAGAATAGGACATGAAGGCTTAATTTTCACTCAGAAACAGAGTAAGCAGGGAATGAGATGTTGCACGGATGAAAAGTGAACAGAAGAATACAGAAGAGGAAGTTAAATTGGAGGACAACTATACTGAAAAATTTTGCATGAACAAACATGTGCAATGTTAGAAGAAATCTAACAGTTGATCGAGATCTTAAAAGACACAAAGATATACTCGGAAATGTGGAAGATTTATGAATCTCATGAATATGGTGGACGCTGGATTACTATCTCGGCACATCAAGGTGATCCCTCTCGTAATCATCACTACCAACATTTTGGCGTGTTGACAGAAGAGATCGTGTGTCTGGTCCATCAACCGGACGTTGAGTTCTTCACATTTAGAGGCCGAATCGCACGTGCAGATCGATGTCCATCAAGTCACAGATCATGAGTGAACCAGATGCAATGTGTGCAGGAAGTTACATCTTGCCTCTCCCAGTACAGGAACTTACTGAAGTATGAAATGTACAGCAAACTTAAATGAGAACAGACGTAAACAAGCATGGCTAATCGCGCATGCACCCATCAGCTGTACCTGCTGATGGCTTCGCTCTAGGCAGTGCATTTGCCAAATGAAATGTCACTTCTCTGTCGCGGGTGTTAGAGGGCTTGATGAAACTATACTTCTAAAGTTAAGGAGCTGGCATTTGTGCAGGAAATTCAAGCATCAAGTGTCAAATATCGCCATATTTATCACAACACGACTGCTCGACGCAAGAAAATCAGTTGACCCATCTGTGATGGGATTTCTCCTTAACAATCCCGATATACATGCCATGCGCAGCAACGAGTCAAACCGAGAAAGGAAACCTTCACTCACCTCTGATCCGATCGATGATTGCTTGGACATCGCCGCGTGAACTGAAACGAGATGGAGCGCGACACGGATGGGATGGAATCGCCGAGCTCTGACCCGGTCTACTTCTTTCTGTCTTACGGCTCGACCGACGGAAAGTTGGGCTTCATCGACAGCCGGTCGGACTTCCAATTACATCATAATGTTCGGGAGTCTTCTTGGTGGATTATCTCACTTGTTAGCGCATGCTAAGTGCTGATTCTTTTCTCTCGATTGCTAGTTTTCGGTTTTCTTCATTCTATCGGTGGAAGTTCCCGTGTCATCAAAGGATCAATAGCTCCTAACACATTTTTAAGATTGGTTCATTTTAAGTGGTGAAATATACTGAGAAAATACTAAAGTTTTTTTTTAGGGAATTAAAAACTATACTCATAATAGAATTGATTGCATGGACATTAACTTTATATTGTCTTTCAATCTTTCCCTCATTTTTTAAACTATCAAATTACGAATTTTACCCCCTATGGACATAGAGATAAACAGAGTTGCGCGACCGGAGAAATGTGGGTAGGGCATTGCGCGATGCTAGAGAAGTTTCGTCGGGGGGCCACGCGACCCCAACACGATCTGGCCAGGTGAAATTTGGCCCGACGAGAACCGGAACAACGAGATATGGCCTCAACGAGAGCCAACCCGATGAAGAGTCCTGCAACTGAAGCCGCGCAACCACGACGAGCTTTCTATAACTTCAATGGCGAACGAGACACCGGAGACAGGACGGCAGCAAGCTAGATCTCCACAGGGCCGAGAGGCCTTGGGTGCGCTTCGCTTGGGATCGCCGTCTCGGTGGCCCGTAGCTTGAGGTCTCGTGACTCCAGCTTGGCACCCATTCCCGGCGAAGCCAACTTCTCGATCTCGATGGTTTGCTCTTCTCCACTGTCATTTTTTTCAATTTTTTTTCTCATTTCAGGATTTGCTTTCCAATGTACATTTACATTGTGATTATCAAATACTCTTTGCTTCTACTTTAAGAAAAAAATCTTTGGAGTCATCAAAGAGATGCAAAGTCTTAAAAGTCAAAACATTTGCCAACCTCTGATCGCTCTGCAAATCACTCCCTGACTTTTGATCTACCTCTTATAGAGCATGGGAGTCAAACCTCGCATCTGTGATGTTAGGGGTGAGCATGGTTCCAGGGTTTACCCTAGAACCTGAAAACCTAACCGGTGGAAACTTATAAGTTCCAAGTTCTAAGGTATGCAGAATAGGTTCTAGATTTCAAAAATTGGGGAACCTATTTCGACGAGTAGATTTCAGGTTCTAGGTAAATGAAACCTGGAACATAAAACCTAAATAAGTTTTTTGTGTTTTTTCTTTGTCTATATTTTCACGTGATCTTGTAGTGTTTCATAGTGTTAGATAATAAGTGTATAATCTGAAATCACTAATCTGAGCTTTCATTTTATGACTTGTTAATGTTTCATATTTTTCGTGTGTCTAAATATAAGTTGTGGTCAGTGGATCATAGTAGCAAGTGGTGGTCATTAAAAGTGATGATTTATTGCAATTGTTCAATTAATAATACATGTGGAACTTGGGTAGACCCTAGAACCAAACTGGAACTTGTGATAGGGTAGGTTCCAAATTTCAAAAAATGAGGAACCTATTCTCATGGGTAGGTTTCAGGTGGAACTTGTACGAAACATGGAACCACTTACCCCTAATATCGATTCACGCAATGACTTCTCATTTTAATTGTATTTATTTGAACCGTAATGCTATGAAAACTAGTCTTTTGTATTCTCTTTGGTGAATGACGAGCTTATTCAGTATTGTTGCGTTCATTTTCGTTTTGTTTAAATAAAAATGAAATATAAAAAATAACATGTTAGACCCTGGAACCTGTGACATGGTAGATTCCAGGTTCCAATTTTTGACCAGTAGGTTTCAAGTTCCAAAAATGATAAACCTGTACTCGAGGGTAGGTTCCAGATTCCAGGTTTCAGGTTCCAGGTGGAACTTGTAAGGAACCTGGAACCGCTCACCCCTATGTAATGTCGATGTCCCAAACCCTCCAATCCATTTACCAATAAAGCTGCATGCCTATTGGCCAACCTCACTCCTAATCGCCTGCCTTATTTTAAGACTTGTCCTCTAAAAATTGATAACTGATTTAATTAAGAGACAAAACAAAATAAAAAGAAATAAGAAATAAGAGAGAGAGAGCTGTTCAGCTTTAACGAGTTCCCCCCTCGTTTCCATAGCAAAGAGCCAAGACCCTTAACCCTAATTTTCTTTACCGTTCTGTAACATTTCAACTCTATAGTGAAGAATCTTACCGGAGGAGTAGGTATCCAGTAGACCTGTTAAACGGGTGGGTCGGGTCGGGTTTGGGTCGGGTCATAAATGGTCCGATCCAAATTGACTCATTCACCCGTTTATGACCAATTTATTCTTAGTGTAAATATCTCGACCCATACTCGACCCGACCCATACCCAACCCATACCCGACCCATATTGCTAAAACACTTTTATCTTTAACCTAATCTAGGAATACTTGTTTCTTATGATTTTTTTTTTAAAAATTATACTGCTAAAACATTTTATGCAATACAAAACTAGTGAAAAAATTTTATAATTTTTTTTAAAATTGAGGTTCTGTTTGTTTTACGAAAAATGCGACATTTCTAGAAAATATTTTTCATAAAGTCATTATCCAAGAAAATAAAAAAAATTAATATTTTTTTATTTTTTAAATCGAATTTTTAATTATTTTTTATTTTTTTCTTTTTCCTTTATTTTTGGCCGATCGCCGGCTGCCATGGCCGGCGACCGACCACAGGCGAGGACGAGCTCGCCGGAGGTCGGCGAAGCTCGTTCTCGCCGATCTGGCGAGGACGAGCTCGTCGGAGGCCGGCGAAGCTCGTTCTCGCCAATCTGGCGAGGCCTCGGCCGAGGCTCCACCTCGCCAGATCCGGCGAGGTAGAGCTCGCCCGAGGCCGGCGAGCTAGAGTCTCGCCAGATCGGCGAGGCTGGAGCCTCGCTGGGATCGGGCGAGCCTCGAGGTTGCTGGAATCGGGCGAGCTGGAGCTTCGCCGGCCTCCGGCGAGGTCGTCCCGCCCCGGTGGCCGGTCGCCGTGGCCGACCACCGGCCGGAATAAAAAAAAAAGAAAAAGAAAGAAGAGAAAAGAAAAAATAAAAAAATAAAAAAAAGAGAAAAATAAAAATAATTAAATTTCGATTTTTTTAAACATATTTATAAAAGAGAAAGAGAGTGTGTGAATGGGTCTAATGGGTGGGTTGGACATGGGTTCCAAACTCAACCCATTTAGACCCATTTATCTTTAAGTTTTAAAATTTAAAACCCATTTAACGTTGACTCTTTAAAATTAAGTGACCCATATATGACCCATTTATTTTTAAATGGGTCATATATGGGTTTAAGACCCATTTTGACACCTCTAGTATCCAGCAATACCCCCACCCCTCACCACCGTTAGGCGAGGACGCGGTCATGGTCTGACCAAGTGACCCTCGTCGGAGACATATTAGGGTCGTCAGCCTTCGCTGGCCAGTGATGGAGCGAGTTCCCCCCTTTTCTCTCTCTCCCGAATATTTTTTCATACGGCATACCGTGTTAGCGCCACATTTACGCCACATGACAATCCTTTACCATGTGGGTGTTGCCACTTTGGCAAATATAGTAGATTCGCCACAATCAAGACAAATTTATTTCACAAAAAAAAATGTCGATTGATCCGATTGCATCATGTGTAAATAGTTCGCACATCAAAAGTATAGTTGACCTTCTTTATATCCTTTTTGAAAAAAAAAAA